CCCGCTCACCCCGCTCCTCCGTCATCAGCGTGGCCACAGGGGTGGTGTCATTTCCTCCCTTGCACTTTGATTTTTCCCTGAACCATTGGAGAATAATGATGACTACGTTGTGCCATTATCCTGGAAAACTTCACTGTGAATTGACCGAAAGCAAGAACACTCCTACACCCATCAGGGCGGTCATGGAAACCAGGGGCAGCCCCTGCGGGCTGAGGTGGCCGAGCTTGCCCAGCGCGCCCTCGTGGCAGGGAGCACATGAGCGCTTCGGGCTCTGACCCAGGGTGCCGGTCGGGATCACACGTGTCCCTTCATGTGGTGTCTCCTAATCTCCTTCCAGCTGGAGAAGGTCCTTAGTCCACCCCACCTTTGACCTCGACGTTTTGGAGGATCCGGTTCAAGCGCCTTCCAGGACGTCGTCCTTCGTGTTCGTGAATGTCTCCCTAGGCAGGTCCAGGCCGCGGCTCGGGAGGGATGAGCCTGGAGGCGGCACCGCGAGGCCTCAGAGCTGCCCTCGCAGTGCCGATGGACTTCCTGCTACTTGCCAGGGCGAGGCGTGCCAGGGGTTTCTTTCCGCTGTAGGGTTAGTGATTGTCAGTGAGGTCACAGAAGCGTCCTGTTTTCCCAAACTTCCATCTACTAATTTTTACCTCCGTTGATGTTTCTTGCTTGGGTCACTTGGGCCCGAGACGGCCGCCTGGTGACGATTGTCTCCTTCCTCACTCCTCCTTTGGAGTTGGCCTCTGCAGGTGGCACGGGCAGCCCCTTGCCCTGTTGATGCCGGACAGCGCGTGGGGCCCGCGGCAGTCCCGCCGTAGCCGATATTCTCGCCATTTAGTTTGAATGCGCAGGCCGCCTTGGGGTTGGCATGGAACCCTCAAGCTGCCGCCTGTGTTCCTTCGACTGCCCCACTGTTCTTTGCGCACGTCTCACTCACAGGCAGACCGCAGCCGGCTCCTGTACCGCCCCTGACCAGCTCGGCCTTGGGCCCTTCTGCTTGGGGGCGCCCTTCCTCCTTGAGGAGAGTGGTAATTGGCAAACAAGAAGTGGTACCAGGTATTGTCATTGCTGCTGGGGTTTCACTGCTCCGAGCTCCTGGGGTGTGGGGCTCCCCGCGTCTGCCCTGGCACCTGCAGGCAGGGGGCAGCAGCGAGCCTGACTCTGCCAGTGCCTCAGGCTCTGCCTGAGATGCAGATTCGTCCGCTGCTCCCCCTCCCCAGCAGGGAAATCTCCTCCCGCTGCCTCCCAATGGTCATGCACGGTGGTCTCCCTGGTTGTGCCCAAGCTTCCCCTCTGTCCTTCAGAAATTATGCATGTTTTCACTTACATTTCTTTCATTGTTTTCAGTTTTTAAATGTAACCTTTATAGGGTAAATATTGATGGTGAAATAGGAAATATTTAAGATAAGACTGCTTAAGGGTCAAAATACATAGGGTAGAAATTGGCGAGAACACAGTCTTATTCATGAACAGAGGAGGGCTTTTATTAGCACTTCACGGAGATAGCCTGTGCTAACAAGCCTGCCAGCCGTTGGCGGGGGCAGGAGTTGGGGCAGGCGTGCTGTTTGCACGGGATTGACTGGAAATCTGGCCTTGTCCCGCCTTCCCTCTGGTTACCTTTTACAGGACTTTGATGCCAAATGACAGTAACGCCCCAACTAATGTAATCTAGAGTTCTTTCCGGCTAGAGATCATTTGAAGGATTATGTTTTATATTGTGTTTTGTGGTTTCTGGAAGCTAAGGGTTATTTTTATTCAAAATATCACAAGTTTAATACAATTAGAATTTTTCTCCATAAATAGTGACCATTTTGCCAGAGCAGTTAGGAAAGAAAATGGAGTGGAACGCATCGAGATGGGGAAGGAAGAAGGAAAGCTCCACTTGCAGGTGGCGTGATCCCGCACACAGAAAGTCCTAACGCATGTACTTGAAAAAGGGCCAGCGCGAACAAGCCCGTCGTGCGGCGGCGGGTCAGATTCAGCAGGTGTGCCGACAGCAGCGTGCTGCGGCCGCCCGTCCACTCGTGAAACTGGGTGGGCAGTTTATGGTGGCGCCAGCTAGCACAGGCGTGGTCGGAGTGGATTCAACAGACAGCGTGTCACTGCCAGGACAAACATCACAAGTTCATGTTCTGAGAGACTTAGTGTTATTCTTAGTCCTCCTCGAGTGGACCTACGGGTCACTGCAGTTTCTACTGAATACCAGCTGATTTCTTGAAGAAAATTGACAGTTGAGCCTAAACTTCACATAAAACTAGGGAATGCAGAATAGCCGAAACAGTCTTTGGAAAGAACAATGAAGCTAAGCCTGAGACTGCAGCATGCGGACAGGCATGTACACCATGGACTCAAGTTGGATGTCTACGGTGAACTCGCTTATAGTCTGACCACTGTCAGAAGTGACACTGAGACAGTTTAATAGGGAAAGAATAACGCGGTCTGCACCAGAGGGTGCAGGTCGGCCGGACGGCTGCCGGCCAGAGCGTGGAGCTGCACACTGCATGAAACTGAACTCAGTGCGAGAGCTGAGACCTCACGGTTGTTAGTGACTAAAATAGGGACACTTTTGACCCTGGGGTAGGCACCAGGAGCACAGGCAAAAAGAACAAAAGATAAAAATTTTCAAGACTTACTTTCTTAGCATTTTTTTTTTTTAAATCAAACCCCTTCTGAGTGAAGTTCCTCGCAGCAGTAGCTCCTGTCAGAGCCCCAGCGTAAATGCCGAAGAACCAGCTGGCTGAGTTCGTGGTTGTGGTGTGGCCTTGCCTGGCCCTTGCTATCCGGACTTAGGTTTCCCTTCGTTTCTTGCCCTGCCCTGCCCCACAATGATTAAAGCCTTCATCTTGATGCCTCCCGTCACAGAATGTTCTAAAGCAGATTTTACTTTGAACCTTTCAGAACTGAGTTGAGTTCCAGCATATATTTTATTCAGAATTTCAGTTGTCTGTTACATCAGTTTTGCGTGCTCAACTGTATTTAGTTGTCATCTACTATGCCTGCCATTTATACAGCTATCTGCATGAGACACTGAAAGTGTATAACCTGTTTTCATGTTTATATAATGGTGCTGTACTAATAAATAATGAAGTGCAGAAAATAGACCGTTTCATCATTTCCTGCAAAGCCTAGAGGTTAGTCTCTTTAAGAATAACAAATGAAAGAAAAAAAAAGAATAAGCAATGAGTTAAATCCCCATAAGGAAAGGTGAAGCTTTGATCTCTAGATTCTTTTCCTTTGAAGGCACCTGTGATGTGCAGCTCGTCTCCTTTGACTAGAGGTTGGGGGTTTTTCCTTGAAGATGAAAACGTCATCGAGTTGACAGCCTGTTTGTGTCACTAGCGATCAGATGCTCCTCTCAGAACAGCTTGCAGGATCGCCGCCTGCCTTTCCATGGAGTTAAAGAGCAGAGCACTAGGGACGAAGGGTGGACGGGGCTCAGGTTGGCGTGTGCAGACGTCCCCGTGACAGCTACTTCCCATGGACGCAGAGGAAGATGAACTTGAGTCGCAGCGTGGCTGATGTGCCAGTGTCCTCGAGGTCCCTCAAGGCTGTGATGCTGGGGGGCTAAGCTGTACGATTTGCGAGTTTATTAGACAAGCGGTACAAATGATGGGTGATCACAAAAGGGTTTTGGGAGGATATGGGATTTTTTTAAATTTAGAGGATACATTATAACTGGCTTATTTTTAGTATTTTTAATATTTGGTTGACTTTTCATGGTTTAGATTTCTAATTGGTTTCAGTACTAATGAAGTGGAAAATAGACCAAACCTATCTTCATTGATTACAAAACTGCAGGTTACTAAGCCCCGAACACAGAAATGTGTTTTATCGGTGATGATAGCCGGTGGTTGCCGACGTTGGTACAGTGTGCTCATCAGAGAGCTTGACGTGATTTTTCTGGCCTTGACGTAAGGTCTGGCTATGATGTGGTCCTAGTAAGTTCTGCCTTTAAATGTTTGAGTGTTGAAGTTGATGGCACTGGTGGCCTGATTGGGAGCCTGGTGGGTGAGGAGGGGAGTGTTTCATGCAGGCACTGACCTTCCTGCCCACGTCGTAGAGTTTTTACAGAAAGCACTACTTTTGTGATTTACAAAGATACAGATAAAAGTGAATGTGCTTATTATTGAGTATTCAGTAATATCGCTGATTCTCAGAAAATGCATCGCATCCATTCGCCAGAGCACTAGGCTCTCAGCCCAGCCCCCCGGTGGTCTCAGTCTGCATCTCGAGGTTGCTGCCTCTGGGGAAGGATACAGTTACTGCTGCTCTTTCTCTCTCAGGCCTCAGTGCAGGGGAAGGGTGGCTGTGTTCTTCTACGGAGCCCTGAGACGCCTGGGTCCCTTCCCTGCTAGCTTTTGTGTTTGCTGAGCGGAGGTGGGGAGCCTTCAAGGTGGGGGCTGGAGCTCTTGCCGTGGCGTCCACACTCTGGGCAGCAGAGTGCAGGGAGGGCTTTTAATAGGCCAGTAATCCTTTCTAGAGGTTCCTGGGAACCACCACAGTCACGCCCACTCACCACTCCTGGCCACAGCCTGGCCAAGAGGCAGTTCCCATTACGGCACCGGCTTTCCCGGGCATGGCCACTGTGCCCAGGAGGAGGCCCATAAGGGCTCTGCATGTGCCCCGCGAAAGCTGCCCTCCTGCCCTCCTGTCCACTGAACACTGGGCCCAGGCCAGCCCCAGGCCACCCGAGCACAGCCTCAGCATACCGCTCCCTGCACAGATGGAAGCCTCAGCCTCATGCTGCGCCAAATAAATGCCCATCCGCCGCAAGAAAGACAGTTGCCCAGGGGCCGAGGCCAGCGCCTCCGTGCGCGTGCACCCCGGCGGGCGCGCGGACGGCTCCGCAGGACCCGGGTTTCTCATTTGGCGCGCAGCCTGGTGCGGCACGCCTCGCTGCACCGCCACTCCAGGACATCGCCGCGCGCGATCTGTACGCTTCCCACACAGTTTTAGCTAGGACGTGAAAAGTCGTTCCTAACCGCATGTATCTGTTCCCACAGTGGACGAAGGCCGCAGTCAGGAGCCCGACCGGCTGCAGGTGTTTCACAAGAAGGCCGTCCTGCCCTACGGGGTCTACAAGCAGCAGCGGCAAGACCCCAGCGAGGAGGCCGCGGTGCTGCAGTACGCCAGCCTGGTGGGGCAGGCGTGCTCCGAGAGGATGCTGCTCTTCAGAAACTAGGCGGTGCCGGGCCGCCGGCCCCACCCGTGAGGCTTTTATTTTGAGTGTTGGATAGCCTTTCCGAAATATTTTGTGGCGATGTATTTGTGAGACTCTCATGGTTAACATAAAGATTTTTTAAATGTTCTGACCTGGCCTCCTCACGGGGGGCCGAGCATTTGGAAGTTTGTTTTATGAACCAGACCTGGTAAGCTCTGGTTGTTCATGTTTTGGAACGTAAATTCGTAAGTGAATGCTAAGAAGCTTAAATGACCCTTTTGGGTCTGTCTTGTCAGAGAAATGAATGCAGCTCTTTCCTCAGGCCCATTTTAACCTGTGTCAGCTGGGCAAGAAGGGGGGTCTGCTTCACCTCTGAGAAAACACGTGGAGAACAAAACTGCAAACCTTGTTCAGTCTCAGATTGCTGCAGAATGTTATAATAGGTAGTTTAATAGAAAATTTAAGAAAAGGAAAATGCAAACGGAGTGCAAAGGGTGTCGTGTCAACAGCAGCCACCTGTCCCGGGGTCCTGGCGAGGCCGCGCCCTCGCGGTGACGCTCCCTCACTCGGGTGCCCCCGCCCGGACGGTGAACGTGTTCACGCTGCTTATACCTTACTTGCTCCAGCTCAGAAAATCCTAAGACGTGGAGTTTATGAAGGAAAACGTGGGCCCAGCCTTGCCCTGAGCCCCGCCAAAGCTCTTCAGGCCACAGAGCCCCGGCCCGGCTCCTTGCTACTGAGTGCAGTGAAGGAGCACACGGCTGCCGGCAGTGAGCCTGTAGCTAGGCTCCTCTTGAGCCCCGCAGCAGGCGAGGGGGCAGGCGAGGGGCCCACTCGCCCTCGGGTGGCTCCGGAGACCTGCTCTTCGCGGCCTGAGGCAGAGCGGCCCTCCCCACCCCGTAAGTTCCTTTGGCCGGGCGGCACGGACCTCGTCCACCCCGTCGGGGCGGGGTCGCGGGCGGCGGGAGGAGTGTCGCCCACGCGGCGTCGCGGCGGCAGCCGGCCCGGCCCAGGGTGCCGGCTTGTGCCCGTCCTCAGCGGCCGTCCCCTGCTGCCAGCTGCTCGGCCTCTGAGCGCTCTCCGTTCCCATTTTTCTATGGATCGATCATTAAAAAAAACACCATTAAATTTAGTAGTTTGAATTCCACAGCTGACTTAAAATTTTTCTCCTCACTGCCCTAAATTAAGCAGAAACATGCTTAATTTAGCCATAACAGGAATGAGCATAAAACAATGATTTTAAAATTCAAATGTCCAGAAATGAGAAATCCAGACACATTCTCAGCACGTGTGTGGGATACCTGCCGTGCTCAAGCGTTCTGCTAAGGGTGGGCAAAGGCATTTTCTCTGGTAGCACGGATTTTACATGTTTCTGGAATTTGTGCTTCAGATTGTCTCCTGGGAGCGTCTGACCCTCTATTGACCTTTTTTTCCTTTTCCCTCAAAAGTGAATTTTTTTAATCATTACAAAAATGATATTCACTGTAAGCAGCTAAAACACATATAAATTAAAAAGTAGAGGTAATCTGAAGTCCTACCACATCAGCTAAAAAATTGCTTTACAAACACACTCATTAAGCAGAATTAGATTGTCCATGCTGTTTTGTTCTCAGCATACACTTACGGACACACCTGAATTGAAAGAAATGCCGTAGTGGGGTTTCAGAAGTGTTGGGAACCTCAGACCTACTGAAGTCCCTGGCATATTCAAGTCCAAGTTGATGTCACTGCGTGTCACCCCTCCCCGGGCGGCATGGGGGATGGGGCTCGTAAGAATCACAACGCTTGAGTAACAGACGAAGAGGGAGCTTCCATCTTCCATCTCACCACAGCTCCGGTTTCGTCCTGCAGAATCCAGTTAATGGTTCCTTCAGAGGAGAGGGGGCAGCCCTTGGGTCCTGAGTGTGGCCCTCGCCCGGCCCCCCTGCAAGAGAAGGGCTTCTCCCCTGCTGTGTTCAAACATCCGTACTCTTAGGAGACCGGGAGGGTTTTGTTCCTAAGGAGTGAGATGTCTTTAAAAGGTGACTCTCTGCTCTTTGGGGCCCTACGTGAGTGACTTGATAACGGGCTGGAAAAGGCAGCCAAGGAAGGGGATCTAACTTTGTCAGTTAACAAAGCAATCTAGATGAGAAACGGGACTTTATGTTAATAACTTCAATCTAAAGAAAGATGAGAGAATCTTTCAAAGACAGTTTCTGTCTTTTCAAGACTGGTTGTTTTGCATGTACAATTTTAGTGTTAATAGTTCCTTTCTGATTTTAAATAAATTCACGTCGTCTAGTTGTCTGTCTAGGTAAAGAGATGTAATCGCATTCCCCATGCTACCGTCTTTAAATTATTTCATTTCTGTGAGATTTTCATTATCTTATTTTTTTAAATGTAATCTGAGCACTTTTTTATATTCTGAAAGACAGAGGCTATTATCAGATAAATATATTATTCATTTGATTTAAATTATTTAGATACAAAGCTATTACTGTTTGCTTTCAAACAGCTTATCCTATTTTTCATCCATTTTGGAAAATACCAGTTGTGTGTGGTTTCTTAATACATCAGACTCTGTTTTGTAAATGAACCTTTTCAGATTTGTGAACAGTATATGGTTTGACTTTATTGGCTTTAGGTTATTTCAGTGTGAATAAAGATGAAAAACGATATGATGTCCATTTATCTGAAAATGTATCTTATTGTCACTGACTTTAAGAAGGAAATGAAATGGGAACAATCGGGAGATGCTTAAATTAGAAGTTATTCAAGTGTGTGTTCTTTTCCAAAAGAAAACCCGTAACTATAAGGCAAAACCAGTTTGGTTGCGTGTGGTTTTTGTTGCTCTCGTAAATGCGTTTTGAATAGTCCATTTGATAAAGCTTGAATGGAAAAAGAATAAAGCAGTTTCCACCTGCAGTGGCTTTTCTGGTCAGTGCTTAAGTCTTATGTTTCCGTCTTTAAATGCTCAAATGCGTTTTACCTGGAGTGAGTGTGGACAGCAGGAGTGAAGCCCTGGCCGCAGCAATCCTCATTTAATGTTTGGAAACTGTTTTTTGGTTGTTTGGGGAGGTTTTGTTTGCGAACAGATAGTACTTTTGATCCTAACGCGCAAAACTTCTTCAAAAGACACTTGGGACCCGCACTGTTTGGCCGCCAGCACGGACACTCTGGCTTCCTTTCTCGGGAGCTGTTCGCTCCCAACTTGGAGCAGACGGTCTAGATGTGCCCAAGGTCAGTTCGGGAACGGGCATTCTTTCAGAGAGATTCAAAGTAAACCTTAAGGAGTCAATGCAAATAAATACTTACTTGAATTTCCATCAGCCTCTCACAAAGCAGAGCGTGCTGTGACGTTTACAGCGTCACCCCGTTTGCGGGATATATTTACAAGCGTGCTTGCTCTCTTCACACTAAGGGTCTTGTAAGGTGACGGTAAAAATGAGTCCTCCTTTCCAGGTGACATAAATATTAACTATAATATTTCTGGGATTTCTTTCCAGAGTGGAAATAGCTTTGTTGTTTTCCATACTTGAAATTGGACAGTGTTTTTGCCAAAGAACATTTAGACATGATAGAGAAGTGTACTGTAGAAAATAAAAATCACTTTTAATTCCATTACTGCTACCACTGTTTATGCTTTGGTATCATTCTGTCCATTTTTTTTTCTACCTACATCTATGTATAGGCTTTGTTTATTTTTAAATAAAAGTGGAATCACGCCATGTATTGTGTGTATAGTTTTTTTCCTCATATTTTAGCATCTTAATATATCGTGACTATGAAAACAATAAGGAAGAATATAACCATTTCAGTGACTGCATAATATTTCACTGTAACATCGTCTGAGAGAGGGGACTGGAGACTTGAGTCCTCCAGCGAATAATGGACGATACTGGAACTGATTCACAGCAACAGTTTTTAATCAGTTTTTTGGGGTAAAAATTGTAGCATTATTCTTAGTCCCCATTTCTGGCTTGCATTGAACCAGTGTGGATTTTTTTCCCTTATCTAAAGATTTTAAGTTTAATGCCCCAGCTCCCTGGTGGCACAGTAGATTAAAGCACACCGCCACAGATCTGGCCGCAGTCTCTTCAGTGTGAGTTTCATCCCTGGCTGGGGAGCCTGACCCACATGGCGCAGCCGGCCTCTCCTGCCTCCCCGCCGCTCTCCTCAGCAGTGTCCTTCCTCAGTCGACCTGTTCTGCTCCCCGCTCTGTCTCTGGGGAATCCTCCCACGGCCCCTGCACCTCTGGCCTGTACCCAGTTCTGTGTGCACAAATAAATCAGTCTTTACAAAAATAAACGTAGGGCCCCTTCTTTCCTTGTTTACTGAACTAGGTGTTTTGTGGGAGATACTTAGAATCCTTTTACACTTCCCACATCACTGAAATGTCCATTTAGAAAATGTTTCACTTGAAAAGTTCTTTGAGGCAAATTAAGCTTCTGATTCTTGCTTTAGAATAGAGTCCCATGGATATGCTGGACACGACATGGGTAGCCTTCCCTCCCTTGCTAATTTAGCTAAGTTTTTTCCTTTCAAATATTTTCCCTTGTAAACGCGTTTTAGAATTTAATGCTAAGTAAAATCACAGCTCTAGTGTCCTTGGTGTTATAGTTGCTAGCTCAGTCTAGTCCCCCGCAGAAAGTATTTCCCCATTCACTTTCAGTTAGATAAAAAATTAAAGCTACTGAATTTCACATTTCAGGTTTTTATTGTTTAGAACTTCAGAATAGCCTGCAGATTCTTATGGCTTGGGGTCTTCATCTCCTCACCTCCACTCAGCAGAAGCAATTCCAAGTAGCAGGCTGTGAAAAATAAAACAGCCCTAACTGGGAAGTCTTAATGCTGCATGGTAGTTGCCCTTTAATACGAAACCCAGAGTAAAGGTCTCAGCGCCTCTGGCATCCAGAGAGCTGGCCGAGTGACCAGCAAGGAGCTGTTTCTCTTGATCCTGAGCATCTGATGAAAGCCGATTGGCAGGACGCGGTTTTAAATTAAATTAAATTTATTTAGTTTATTGCAATGTTGCAAGCTGGAGCCATTCTACCAACAGGTACAAATGCTGTGCTCCTAACACACATTTCACCTACCTGACTGTAGGTCACAGTCTTCCCCAAGCCTGGATTTTTCATGCTTTTGTCAGCCTGTGTCAGGGTCTTAAAACCATTTAACTTAGACCTTTTTTTTTTTTTAATTAGCGTTAAATGAGAACTCATGAATACTTCATGAAGTCCAATTCATCACACTTTGTTAATTCAGTATTCAGAGAGTCTGAATAACATCTCTCAACTAATGGAGCTTTTGATCATGAAACAAGACAAACAGCATTTTAGGTTTGTGAATGCAGAGCTTGGTACTCAGTTCCCTTCTGAGTGGACAGGCTACGTGCTTCTCCAGAGGATTTGAATGCAAAGATGTCCAGATTGTGAACAGCTAACTGTTGCTGATGTTGCTTTACCATGGAAGTGAAGCCTGCATGTACGCCTGTGTTCGCACACACAGCATCCACTAATTAAACCTCGCTACTAACCGTCTGATTTGTCCTCAATTTTAACTGAAAAAACCAACTGAATAAAGGATCTGGGTTTTTAAAGATGATTACAGAAGTCATACACAGGGACAAAGCTGCCCTGTCTGGAGAGGAAGGCACTGGCCACATCGTCTAATTAAAATTTCAAATTTAAACTCAGTGTTTAAGCCTCACTAGCCACACTTCAAATGCTGGGGACCCTGTGTGGCCTGTGGCTGCCGTATCCCTTTCCTGTCTAGCCAGGAGGGCTGAAAGTCACTCGCTGCCTGGAGACTGGAAGCCCAAGATCAAGCTGTGGCCAGGCCAGGCTCCCTCCGTTCCAGGGAGACGCCTCTGCCACCCCACTGCTGTGGGCGGCTGCTGGCCTACCTTGGTGTCCCCGTCCGGCAGCTCGTCACTGCACAGTCTGCCTTGGTGCTCACGTGGTCCTTCCTCTAAGGAAGCCAGATTGGGCCAAGGGGACCCCAACCCTGCATGACCTCACCCTACCACGCCTTCATCCATCTGCTAAGACCCTAGTTCCAAATAAGGTCAAATCTGGGGTTAAGACGTCACCCTGTCTTCTGGGGGACAGAAGTATCGGGCGCAGACTGACTTTAGGAAATTAAATGGGTCACAGTTTGATTGTTTTTTATAAAGGTTTATCGCAAAAGACCAGAACTACTGCAGCAGAACACGTGGGCAATGTATGTGGACACTTCTGGGTTCTCATCTGTTTCACTGTGCCATCGAGATCCGTTCAAGGTCAGCTGCACGTGGATATGAATCCTGGCTCTTGGGACCCAGGGCGCCGTCTCCCGTGGGAACGGCATGTCCTTGGATTTACAGTTAAATTACATACAGAGAACGTTTCCTTGAAGAGTGATTTCAATAACTGAAAGATTAATTCAGAAATATTTACACCGGATTTCTGCTATTTTGTTATTTCCATTTTTTTTATATTCTAGCTTGTATTTTCTTTTGGGTTTCTGGTGGTTGTAATCATGTTTATTTTTATCAAATCAAAAAGAAACTTGCTTAGAGATCTTTATCAACAAAAATCTCTGGCTCTATGACAATAAAGGGACTAACGTGCATCTACTCAACAATTTCCAGTCACCTGACTTCTTACAAGCGGGGGAAATACAAAAATGAACAACGGTGAAAATAACTAAATACATTTAAAGAAAAAATAAAGTGGGGGAAATAAATCCTCATCTCCATTGCTCTCACACTGTTTAATGCACAGTTGACAGTGAACTCAGCAGTAGATCTATTTACAGCTGTCTTTCAAAGACTTACTTCTTTATTATTGCATCTTAAGCATAAAAATTTTAAAAGATTTATTTATTTATGCATACAGAACTGGGGTACAGGCCAGAGGTACAGGGGGTGAGAGAATTCACCAGGGACTGAGCGGGGAGCAGAACAGGCAGATCTACCGCAGTAACCCAGAGGGTAACGGCAGGGTCAGGAGAGGTCTGCCGCGCCATGTGGTCACCTCCAGGGCGGGGATCGAACGTGCACTGGAGCAGCCGCGGCCAGCTTGCAGTGCTACTCTTTAGCCCACTGCATCACCAGGGAGGGCCAGCACCGTTTGAATTACTATTCTCCATCATGGCCTACTTCTACCAAAAACCGTATGTACGTGCCTTGACTCAGAAATCTTAAGGAGTCTCCGTAGAGGCTTGTCATGAGACACAGAGACAGTGGTGTGAACTCACTTCACAGACATGGTGCCCTTCCCGTGGGCCGGCGTCAGGGACAGCGAAGGGCCCTCTGGGGCGGGGCGCCGGCTATGGGGCGCCTCGTGCGTGCCGTGAGGGCCGCCGCCTGCAGCGGTAAAGGCTGCTCTCCCCAGGCTCCCTGCACCTGCCTGTTCTTGAGAGCCACGCCGTGGTTTGAGCCACACCATGGTTTATTAATACCAGTCCATATGCTCTTCTGTGCAGAAAACCGGCAGAGCGTCAGCATGTGAAGAGCCACGTTTGCCACAGCTGGGCTGGCGCGAGAGGTCAGGGATCCCGGGTCATGTCCCCAGAGACGCTGGGGTGTCTCTGACTTCCCTGGGAGTCAAGGAACCCAGTTGAGAGGGAAAAATCTGGAGAGCAGTTGGAGCTTAGTGTAACAAGTGTGTGATTCACTTCCATCACCTCTTCCTGCCTCGGCTGAGATACGGGAACTGCTGCATGTCAGCATTATCGGTGAGCGATGACGGACCGTGGGCCTCGCTTATCCGCAGGCTGCTTATCTAGTCACTTCGCCATCTGGAACACAAATGCGGTATCACAAAGTCGGGCATAAAAAAAGGGAAAGAGACAAAGCGCCTCGTGGCTAGAAGGAGCTGCAGGGGCTGGAGTCCAAGCTCCAGCAACCTCACGCCTTGCTGCCGCAGAGCTCCTCAGCCCACGGCTCGAGATCAAGCGGCCTGGAGACAGCAGGCTCCTGGAAGGCCGCTCCCCATCGCCACCCCCCACTGCCTGCGGCCCACGGGGCCGGCGGCCTCAGCCTGGACCTGGCGGGGGCAGGTGGGCCGTGGGGGGGGCGAGCTGACTCAGGAGGAGACCACCTTCTCGCCACGTCCCAGTTAGCTTACAGGCGAGGAAGCAAAAAGTGGGCACAGAATCCTTCAGTAAAGGGTCACTTCCTAACGGTGGGACCTGGGTCAGCAGGCCTCGGGCCCCTCCGCAGGGGCGAGCGGGGCGAGGGCCGCCTGGGAGCAGGCGGGGGCCCTGGCCTGGCACTAGCTGTCTGCTTGTCAGATGGCAGCAAAGAGAGGTAGCGGAAGTAAAGTGTTAACGCAACGCTAAAGAGAAACACAAAAGGGGTGAACGGCCAACCCCAGGCCTGGAACCCTAATCGGGCCGGGAGACCCTTGCAGGCCAGTCCCGCCTGGCACTGACCACAAGGTAGCTGAAGAGCCTCCAGCAGGAGACCCCCAGGGCGCCGCAGACCTCTCCTGACCGGCCGCTGCTCCCCTCAGCAGCGTCTTGCCAGTCGGCCTGTTCTGCTCCCCACTCTTTCTGATGAAGCCTCTCACCCCACCTGCACCTCTGGCCTGTACCCCGGTTCTGTGCGCATACATAAACTAATCTTTTTTTAAAAAGAAAAAAAAGGCCTCCAGCACACTCCCACACAGGAAAAGGGGGAGTGCATGCAAAGTGTTTGCTTCCAGAACTGCTGAAGCAATAAGACGATTCATTT